GGCCTTGGTGCCTTAGACCCTTGAGTATAGTGAGGATAACTCACCTCCCTAGTAGTGCTGAAATACTGTAACTCCCTGACCGTTATCTCACCGAGAATCCCGAACTGTCACATAATAATAAATAGTAGGTTAATACCCAACATTACTTCCTTGACTAAGTGTCCACATAACTCATTAAGTCCATTCCTTTTTGTTGGGCCAAAGCCCCACACCAAGTTCTTAACTTGAAAGTCTATATACATAAGTCCATTATTGGCCCTATTTACTAAATTGGGCCAAACCTCCTTATTGGGCCTAACCCAATGATCCACTATCACAACCTGGCCTAAGATATCTTATTTACAGAGTCCAGCAAAGGCCCAATTCCATTTAGTCCAAAAACAGCCCAACACCCGAAGCCCATTTGTCAAAAGCCCAACAGAGGACGTACGCAGGGCGTACTTCTCTGGGTACGCAGGGCGTACTTCTCTGGGTACGTGGGGCATGCTCATCCAACGTTGGCCACCATCGGGGTGGTTGACCCAATACGCTGGGCGTACTGGATTTACGTTGGGCGTACTGGACAGTTTGCTAAAACCTTGTTAAGTGCTTAATGGCTTAAGCACTTAAGCCCAAACTTCAGATCCAGAGACCTAACATGCCTAGGATCCATAAAGTCGTGAACTTTATCACTTTGGACATCTATAAAGTTCTAAATGCTTGGTCTTAATCCATTAAGACCTTATCCTTCCATGCATGGGACACCTTCAGCTAATGGGACCTCATTTTTATCACTCAAGGTCCCTTAAAGAGTCCAGAAGGACAGTTCTTTTCGTCCAAAACACAACATGCACCACCTTGTGGTTTTTGGGACAAGAACTGGGTCTTTTAAAGGAAATTGGAGAGATCTAATAATATAAGCATAAAATTTGGAACTTTATACCTTCTGGAGCTTCTTGTGCACGAGCTAACTTCAGATCTACAAGCTTGGTCTCTTCCTTCAACTCTTTGATGCAATGGTTTCCTCTTAAAGCACTCAAGAACACACCAAATGAGCTTAAACACACAAAGGGGAGGCTAGGGTTTGAGAGAGACGAGTTTGATCTGTGGAGGCTGAGTTAAGAGAGGTGTTGGTGCACATTATGTTGCTTATATAGGCCCCAAACCCTAAATGTTAGGATTTCATTCCTGACGTTAGTACGCCCAGCATACTAAGGCGGGACCTTAATACGCTCAGTGTACTCCTATGTACGTGCAACGTACCCCCCTTTTGGCCCAAATTTGCAAACTTATCCCTTAAACTTGTCTTGGCTCTCCATTGCCAGCCCCAAGGGCTATAATTGACAAAGTAATGATAGAATAGGGTTCAGAAATACCTGCAAAATATCAGGATGTTACAGAAGTATAATTTATTAGATTATTATATTATTAATAAACTAATTGGAAATTATGGGAACATGATTTGTTAATATATTATGTGATAAATATATTAATTGGAAATAGACAGTTGATTTGTTAATTTATTATGTGATTAATAAATTAATATGAGATCAATTGTTAAATAATTGATTTGTTAATTTATAAGGTTAATAAGTTAATAAGAAATCAATTATAATTGATTAATTATTAATCAAAATTAATATGGAATTAATTCAGGATTAATTGGAATTAATTGAGGTGCAAGGGGTGAATTGTAATTATTCAATAGTTAAACAAAAGAGGCAGTTCTAGAAGCATCCATATCATGGACGATTTTGTAGAGTTCTTTAGGGTTTCCATAAGCCTTCTGGTTGCATAAAAGGAAAGAATTTGAATTAGTATTAAATCTATTATTTAAAACATTGCTTTGCCTGCAAGTTACGTAAACTATAAATAGGACCCGTTGGCTTGTTATTTTCGTTCACCACATTACCTAAAGGCATAGGAACTAAATTCCATTCATTTTAGGGTTTCCCAGTTTTGGATGTGAGCCATTAGAGGCATCATCCTTTTGGTGCTTGCTTTCCAAGGAACTTCAAGAAGATTTGATTTGATTATTTGCTATAATAATCAAAATGTATGTAACCCTAATATTTATGTTATTTCGATTTTCATAGCCTTTCTCTAGGGTTTCTTGATGTCCATAGTTTATTGCTATCAATAGAGAAAACATAGATCATTTGTAGGTTGCATGTGAACTTAAGGGTTTAAGTGTTTTTCTGCTCATATGTAATTTTTTATAACCTAGAAAACCTATCAGATACATGGTAAAAAAACGGGATATGTGGTAGGATCTAGAGGAAACACATGGACGCGACACGTTTTCACATAAATCATAAAATATATATAGGGTTGAATGTTTCCTTCAACTATTTCTTTCCCAAAATAACAACCAGATTGATTAAGTGGCGATTTGTAGCTGAAATAGGCGGATATTAACGCTAGTGTACGAGGATACAAACTACTGAATGGGTTAAGGTATTCTCTTGTTTTGATATTACATAATAGTGTTTACATAGTGTAACTGTGGAAGGTTGTTAAGGTTGTCATTCTAAATAAACTAGTTATTTTGAAAATGTTTCCGCTGTGTGTGTGTGTGTGTGTATTTTAATCTTTATTTTGTGCATCAAAATCCATCATTTGACTTATTTCTCCGTCACTCAAATATGGTTTTAGGTCTCTCTATTTATAAGGGAAGGATGTAAAACCTAACAAATAATTATATGGTATTAGAATAATTATCTGTAACTTTGGTAATTATCTGATATTCAAATCTTTTATCTAGAATATTCCAGATTTTCCATGTTTCATTTAATTAATTAAACAATTAATTAATTAACAAACATAAAACCTTTAATTAATCTCTTTCCGGTTTACACATTTTGTTCTTGCGTGTAACCGAAAAGGATATTGATATTAATACTAATATTACCAACTTATTATGGCTATAGGCACCATCTTCCAACAAGAACCACATCTCCGACACCCATGATATCCAGACACTTGTTATATGTCAGTCTGACATTTCCTTTGTAATGCATAAAGTTCTGCATTACATTTTTGGAATGAATAGCATGAAATGACGCACCAGAATCCAAGACCAAGGATTTTTTTGGAGTTTTCAACTGATTAAATGAGTGTGTCACTTACAAAATCTGCTTCCATGTTCATCTCCCTCGGCCTTTATCTACCATGAGCTTTAGGAACTGATTTTTGACATGACCACTCTCTTTGTTGTTCTAACAGGTTATGTCCACCTTTTATTCTCGACTTAGATCTTCCACATCCCTCCCATGCTCTGTTGGACTCCCTTAGTATGTCTTCATTACTCAAGATACTATCTGAAGCATCTTCGACACTTTGTATACGCACATCCTCAACAAGGATTAAATCATGAATGCCTTTAAATGTTAGCTTAGCACATCGCATGAGCTGCTAACTGTTGTCATTGTACCGTAACAACTATCGGGAAAAGATGATAATAGTATAATGCCATGAATTCATCCTAGAATCCAATATCAACCAAACTTAAGCTTGAGATGATTGAATTGAATTTATTCACATGATCAGTCATCGAGCAACCCTCCTTCATATTCACATTCATCAATTGTCAAATCAAGAAAACTTATTTGTTGCTGAAGGCTTTCCGTACATGTCAGATAGAGCCTTAATCAAACCACGAGTAGTCTTCAGACATTGACAATGTTGTAAGCAATGTTCTTTGCCAATGTTAATCTCACCACAACAAGTGCCTGTCGATCTAACAAATGCCAATCCTCCTGTTTCATTGCTTCAGGTTTCTTTACGGATAATGGTTCATGCAACTTCTTTTGGTAGAGATAGTCTTTGTTTATCATTTTCTAGAAACCGAAATCATGACCATCAAATTTGTCAATCTTAATTCTTCCATCTTCAGTCATAGCTCTGATACTAGTTTGTTGGGAATCAGATATTACTTGTCAAGATCTAATACCAGTTTTTTTGGGTAAATTCAACAAAACACGTTAAACACTTAAAAAACGATAAAGAAACTTCGGAAAAACTTGGGGAATAAAACTTCTAAAAAACAAAAAACAAAAAAACAAAAAACTATAAAATCGAAACATAATATTTAACGTGGTTCGACCAATCTGACCTAAATCTACGAACAAATGAGGGGGGGGGGGAGAGAGAGAGAGAGAGAGAGAGAGAGAGAGAGAGAGAGAGAGAGGGATTTTATTAAACTTCCAAGAATAATTAGTCACTCATAAATGTTACACCTCATTTGAGCTCTCAAAATACAATAATCTATTGCTTACAAATTGTTCCAAAAGATGTGCTCTCAAACTTACAATGATTTGCTCTCTTGAATTATTTGTGTCTAAGAATGTTGATGAAGATATGTGCCTATTTATAGGCATACATAGGCAACCCTAATTAGGATACGTGAGGCTCATCCATAATTAGCCCATGAATGGGATACCTAATTGTCAAACAATCACAAAACCCATGCAACAACTTCCTCATCCCTGATAGAGTTTTCCCTCACCAACGAAGCTTTTTGCCGCTCGTAGATCTTTATGTCAAGACTTCACAACCCAACAGTTTACGCGTGATATATCTCTCCACATCAGTTCTACGCTGGCCGGATAACACCCGATCCACATCACCTTAGTCTTTACAGTTACAACTTACAAATGGGTTATGCCATAGTTTATCTTATATCTATTATCAAATAAACTATAGCAAATTGACGATGCGTATTTATCTTTGATAAAAACAATAATGCATTGATGATAGGAGAAAGATTGTTTATGAGAAGTTGGAGACGAATTATTAAATAGGTGACGATTTTACTAAAAGGGAAAAAAAGAATGTGATTTATTCAATGGTTGTCCTAAACGGTGCTTTCGTTTTCTCCGACGTTAAACACATTACATACCACAAGACTGAATAAAAACAAATATGTGAAGAACAAGAATCGAAGGCTAGAAGCTATATGTGAACAAAAGTAGCTTATGATCTAAAAATACAAAAAAAAACTTTTGATTTTGAAAAACATCTTACCATAATCTGATGTTTGTTTTTCTACCATCACCCCCGCCGCCACCGCCACCGCCGTTGCCGTCACCACCACCACCACCTCCACCTCCACCTCCGCTGCCGCCGCCACCACCACCTCCGCCGCCGCCGCCTCCTCCTCCTCCGCCGCCGCCGCCTCCTCCTCCTCCTCCTCCTCCCCCACCACCACCACCTCCGCCGCCACCACCACCGCCACCTCCGCCGCTACCGCCACCACCTCCTCCTCCTCCCCCACCACCACCACCTCCGTTGCCACCACCACCACCACCTCCGCCTCCACTGCCACCACCACCTCCTCCTCCCCCACCACCACCACCTCTGTTGCCACCGCCACCGCCACCACCACCACCACCTCCTCCACCACCACCACCACCTCCACCTCCACCTTCACAACTATCACGACCATCACCACCTTTGTCACCATTAGCACAACCACCACCCCCGCCACCACCGCTATCACCGCCACCACCTCCACCGTTTTTTACTATCATCTAGAAATTACATGATTAGTAGGTGTACAATTAATTTGTTTAATGTGTCTACGTACATATGGTTTGTTTTTTAATATCATCTCTGATAAATGTCATATAGTATCAGTAATACAACATGCAAACTCTAAAAAGGTTATAAAAGACAACTTTTTTTTCGTAAATTATAGATTTTTTATCTACATCTTTTTTCTTACAGATATAGAAAAAATCGTAGATGTTTTAAAAAACAAACATATATATTTTTTTTAAGATTAGTGAGTGACTTGTCAAGGGAGTGTATTGGTCCAATGACATCCACATGTGTTAAAATAGTATATGGGTAGCAAAATACAATCCAAATATATCTAGGCTATTTGGAAATCCAAACATTGGACATCTACATGTGTTAAAATAGTATCTAAGTATCCAAATCCAATCCAAATTTATCTAGCCTATTTGATATCCAAACTTCTAGATATGAATTCGGATCGTGGTTTTTTAAACTTTTGGATACTTCGATTATCTGAAAATTCCTGTAGTTATTTGGAGATTCATATAAAAAGTTATGGACACCTAGTGAAGGTAAACTTTTAATGGTCCTTTACATATAAAACTATAAGTTCGTTGATCTCAGTTGGACTTATAATCTGTGATTTTGAGTGATATATAAGTAGATAAACTAAAATACAATTAGGTTAGGTAAAAAAACAAAGTATTATTGGTTGTTTTCTTTGAAATTTAGTCTATATTTTATCAAAAAATTTGGATACCTAATTTGGTTATGGATTCGAATATCAAAATATAATATTAGAAACTTTAGAATATCCAAAATTTGGATTTTTAACGTCATGGATATCTGATTTTAAACACCAACAAACGTGGATCTATGATCCCAAAGCATGGTATAATTATTATCCACAAAAAAGAAAATTGGTGTTTTTTTAACAACAAATGTTTTACATTACTTCTTTTTTTTTTAGCATATACGTATGCATATCTAAGCTTCGACGGTAAGTTAGTCACACTATTTAGATCTTATAAAATTTTTAAAGTGTGTTTCACCTGGTAAAGCTATGGTTTTCTTTTTGCTCTCTGTGCTTTTAGCATGCTCTTCATCTATTTTAGAATCTGTCGAGCCCGGTTGCAAATGCAAAAGACCTGAATACATCATAAACAAGATAGATCAATAATTGTATGATCCTTAAAGCATTTTCTTTAGAGTTTATCTTTTTCTGTGAGCATTAAGCCAATGAGAACATTATAGGAGGTAGGTTCATGCGCTCCTTTAAGACATTAGTACGAACCAATCACACGATAATTACTACTACTTACTCAGACACTCGGAGACATTGGCAGACGTGTTGCAAGAATATGGTAGGCTTAATGCAAGTGTGTCATTAAACTTGAACCCAAGGCTACGTTTATAATACTTGATCATGATGCATAAACATTGCCTGTTCTTGATCAAGACTATCTTGAGATCGCTACAACAATCCTTAGTTGGATCCTCTGCTTCGCCGCCCATATAAGGTAGACAACTTTCTAACCTTATAAGTTGGTTTTCACACATCTCTTTATCTTTGTTTATGTCTCCTTTTGATGGCTCAAAAAACACCATCACTATCATGGCTAAGCATGCCAATGATCCTTTAGACCCATGTAATAAACCCATACTTAGATTAACGATTAAAAGCACTGACGAGGCGATATTACATAAAAAGTTGTACGTTACATGCCTTTATATATGACATCTATGAGAGGGAGAAAGGGGTGGTTAAATTTTCATTTAAGGCACTTAATGTAGGCTAAGATCACACTGAACAATTATTATACTTGAAGAATGTATCTGTATTATATTTATATTTTTTATGTTGGCAAGGACGATAATGGTACGATCGAACACTACACCAACTAACATATTATTATTAATGATTTAATGAACCACATTAGTCTGTCGGTAACAATATTTTAGATTGGAAATTGTAATTCCTACAACTATCATTACAAATATATCTTCTAGTATTTGAACAACTGTTATAAACATATACGCAATCACAAATAATCATTTACTTAATGTTATTACAACATGCAACATATTTTACCGCTATTATGGACATGGTCTTCAATAATTGTATATGACTCCTCCTCCATGACATTAGATCTCCTTGCGAAAAGTATAAAAACATACTTGGAAGTGGATTTCGTGTATTCTTTTCAATCGGTAAATAAAAATAAAAACTTTAACAATTGACAGTCATGGTTTTTTTAAACTATGTTTCTAAACTTCCACTTTATTTATGAAAAAGTCATATCTTTATTTTTTGAAAAAAGAACAACCTGACAATTGTTAAAAATATAAAACCATCAATTGTTTACATATTTAGGATTCTGGACAATAATCTTGGATTTTACACTGTAATATTCAGAAAAATCCATATATTATGGGCTTTTGAACAAAAAACCATGACTTCGTTGGCAAAAAGTGACAGTGATAATACAATACGATTATATTAAAATAATATCATCTGTCACCCAAATATTTAATAGTAAGATTATAAAAAGGTAATACCCTCTATTAGAGAAAATACATTTAGATAATACATTTTTTAAGACAAAATAAAATAAAGTAACATAATACCATATGTCAGATATAAAAAATATAGTAAGATTACAATAAAACAATATCATCTGTCATATAAAAAAAACAATAAAACTACAATAAAATAATACTTTTTGTTACACACATATAATATAAGAAGACTAGCTACTAGTAAGATAATATCATTTTTCAGATAAAGAAAACACAAAAGAAAGGTACCATATGTAAAAAATTAAAAAATATAATAAAGTTACAGTAAAATAATATTTTATGTCATTTTCTTTGAAAAACCAAAGATTTTTTCTATTAATGAACCAAAATATAATAACTTTTCTATATCAAGTTTTTGTACTTTTATTTAAAAAACTAAAGCCATTGATATTTTTATAAATAAAATCAAAGTTTTTAGAGATTTTCGTTCTTTTAAATACAAAACTTGTGTCATTGTTTATAATAATCTAAAAGCAAAACGAATTTATAGAAATCATGTATGTTGTGTAACGTTCCATTTTTCACAAAATTTTTTTCTTTTTTAATTAGAGTCAAAACATCATTTTCATAAAAACACAAGTTAAAAATATCATTTGTTTCAAAATACATTTTATAGAAAATCAGAGTTATCAAAATATCGCGGAAACACTGTTGCTGCTAATGAGTGTGTACAGTCATGCCTTCACCAACCCATGATCAACAGAAGTACCTGAAAACATTTAAATCCACAACTGTAAGCCAAAACTTAGTGAGTTCCCCCAAAATACCACATACCACAATATACATACAAGCATGCACACTATGACTTTCAGTCCATGACTGGTCCACCTCCCTAACTCGTACCATCACATTCGTACACTCCCCTTGGCCTTCAGCCCCGATTGGTCCGTCCGAGTCTATTGGCCTACCGCACACAACATGATCGCCTCAACTCAGCACACATTCACATACATGTCGACATAACATATAATAACAAACAAGCAAACACAATAATACAAGCAACTGTCCTAGCAAGTCTACCCTATCTAACCTGCTTACAACATAACAAACCACTACTACTCTACCACTAGCAAATCACTAAGTAAACGCATAGTTGTATGTACCCAGAGGTGAGATAGTCAGTCGAACATATAATCATACTCTAGAGCCACAACCAAAATAAGGAATGTGGAAATATTCCTTCCAAAATTGATAAGTTCTGCTTAGTTCAAGGGCTATATTGTCTTTTCAGCAATCGATGTCTAATTTGGTTGTTTTGGGTCTAAAAGGGCACCGGGTCTAAAATGGGTGTTTCAGGTCTAAAAAGGGCACCATGTCTAAACTGGGTGTTTCGGGTCTAAAAAGGACTTGTTCCAGAAATGTAGTTACTCCATTCTTAAAGGGCCAAATTTTCCAAATTGGGAAAACTTTTACCCTTTTAATCTCATTGAACATAAGAAAATAACGTGAGAGAAAGAGAGAGTTTTGAAGATTTCTTCTTCTTCTTCTTCTTCTTCCCTCTTGAGCGACATTTTCTAGGGTTTTTCCGTTGTATCACAAAATCATTATAGCTCATTGTAATCTCTTTGATCAAGCTCTGTAAACACTGCAATATTTTAGTGGATTGATTATCGGCTTCCCCCGCCCGTGGTTTTTCCCGATTTGGGTTTTCCCCGTAAATCTCTGTGCCTCTTTGATTTACATTTTGCTTGGTATTTTTCATTGCATGTGATTGATTGTGGCTTGATATTTTAGTCCTATTCCACTTGAACTAATATTGTTCTCGTCATTCGGATTTCTGGGTTGTTTGATGCATTAGGGCTTTTTCGTTTTAGTGCATCTTACCCTCTTTGTTTACTACAATTGATAGCAGAGCTTCCCGATTTTAATATTAGTTTATTGGGATCATTTTATCAAGTGATTGATCATGTCTTCGATGAGGTATGATATTCCGTTGTTGGATCGAAACACCAGATTTCCCCTGTGGCAAGTTAAGATGAATGATGTTCTTATTCAGATGGATTTACACAAGGCGCTTCTGGGTTCCGAGAAGATGCCGCTTCATGGACGGAAGAAGAAAAAGAGACGAAATATTTAAAAGCTCAATCCTAGATTCGTTTGCATTTGTCAAATGATGTTTTGCAAGATGTTTTGAAAGAAACTTCAGCGACTGCTTGATGGTTAAAGTTGGAGCAATTGTTGATGACGAAGAGCCTACCAAACAAGTTGCATTTAAAGCATCGATTGTTCAATCTTAAAATGACTGAAGGAGGTTCTTTAGCTGAACATTTATCTACATTCAAAGGAGTTAGTAAATAACTTAGATAATATGGATGTTCAGTATGAAGATGAAGATTTAGCTTTATTCTTGATGTCGTCGTTGCCCGAATCCTACAGCCATTTCCATGATACTATCATCAATAGCGGTGACACTCTTGTTTTAGATAAAGTTTTTACAGTTTTGGATTCAAAAGAGAAGATGAAGCACATTACCGATGGTGGTTCAAGTGATGCAAAAGCCAAAGGTTTAAATGCCCGAGTAAGAACAACAGATAGAGATAGGGGTGTTCGTTTGGATGGATCAGTTTGATCCGATCCAATCAAGTAAATCCACATAGATTTCGGTTTTCAAAACATGGATCCGAATAGTCCAAAACTAAATTCAAATCCAATCCGATACAACCAAATTACAATTCGGTTGGATCGGTTTTTACAATTCGGTTTTTAAGAGGAAAAATATTTTTAAAAATATATTACCTAAATATTAGCAAACTTTATAAAAGTAACTAAAAAAAACTTTTCAGTTATAAATTATTATAATAATTAAAAAATAATTTAGTAAATTTATAAATGATTAAAGATATATATTAAAAATAAATAATAAATTGTTATTCGGTTTTTTTGGACTATTCTGTTCTTATTTTATAAACCATAACCAATCCAAAATCCAAAATAATAATTCGATTTAGCTTAAAATCAATCCAAAAATCCGAATATCCGAACCAAATAGTCCAATCCAAAATTTTCAATTGGACAATTCGGTTTTAACCAAATAGTGAACAGTCCTAGATAGAGGTCAAAATCCTCAATCTTCCAATAGGACCAGATCCAAGTCTAAAAGCAAATGAAAGTTTTGTAATTACTGTCACAAGAAGGGACATACGATTGATGAATGATTCAAGTTGAAGAATAAAGAGAAAGCAAAAACAAATGGTAAACAAGATAACACTTAGGGTGAAGCCGATGTAGTAGAGGCCGGATGTATTGGAGAACTTCTCACAGTTTGTTCAGATAAATTGGATTCCAGTGGTGAATGGATACTCAATTCTGGTTGTGCTTTTCATATGTGTCACAACAGAAGTTAGTTTTACACATTTGAAAAGGTTAACCAAGGCTATGTTCTGATGGGTAACAACTCTACATGTCCAGTTGTTGGACATGGCTCAGTCAGAATCTGTATGTTTAACGGGGTTATCCGAACCATTGGGGAAGTTAGATATGTTACTGGCCTTAAAAGAAACTTGTTATCTCTCAGCTCCTTTGATAAAAAGAGATACGAGTTTGCTGGTAAAGGTGGCGTTCTCAGGGTATTCAAAGATGGTTCTAAAAAACTGAGAGCCAAGCGCAAAACCTTATATCTCTACTTTCTTGACGGGAAAACGATTTCGGTTTATTCTATTGTTGTTTCAAAGTCTCTTTCTGATCCAGATCAGTCTCGTCTTTGGCACCTTCGACTCGACCATATGAGTTTTCAAGGCATGCCTGAATTGAGTCGAAGAGGATTACTTGGTGAACAAAAGATTGTTGATTTAGAGTTATATGAAGACAGTGTATATGGCAAGGCAAAACGAGTGAGAGTTATGAATGGTATTCATATAACAAAAGGACCACTTGACTATGTTCACTCAGATTTGTGGGGACCAGATCGAGTTGCTTCGAAAGGTGGAGTTGTTTATATGCTCACTATGATTGATGATTTCTCCATGAAGATGTGGTATTTCTTCTTGATGTCACACCCCGATCCTTGTCGGAATCGATCAAGGCGTGATATATTGTTCAAAGTCTCATGACAACTATGTTATAATATGATTAGATTCAATTAA